CTGTTTTTGTACTCGACACGACGGCGTTCTCGACCCAGACCTTTGCGCACCATTTTACGTCGTGTTGACGTCCGCGTCCTCGATCTAAATCTGTCTATTATGTCTATTAGCGAGTGGGAAACTTCAACATGGCCGCCATCTATTCAAATGAGGGTAACCGCTGGAATATTCTTGGCTTCAATTTTACTAAAAGAGATGCGCTATCTAGTCTATATAAGATATCTATGCCTGGGAGCAGCTGCGAAAAATACTGGTTCTCCAACTATAGTTGTAAAATACTGGTTCACCAGTAATCTGTGTAATCCTTTAATAAAGTTCATAAAGTTGCATTTTTGGTAACTGTTCCTGGTTAAGTCTAAAAAGTATGATATATGTTACTGACTATGAAACCACATTTTGGCTATGAAGATGACTTTTTATTCGAATATTCTCTAGTTGTGGAAAAAAGTACCCAAAAATTGAGGAGCCTTGTGAACACGTGTGAAGAATGGGAATTAAAGGCGAAGCTATGTTTGCAAGCTAGGTATGTATGAGTAAAGCTCTGGGCATCAATTTTGACAGAAGGCAAAGGAATTTTGATACTTGGTTTACACAGGAATTTTTTCTTTTTGGATTTTGCTACGAGGAAGAGAAATATATTTTCAGGCCTGTACGTCACATGACTCAAAATAACGGGAGATAGGTCAACTTGATTTTAGCTCGGTCAAAAACGGTTTTTGACCGGTCATTGATACGCTTACACTAACAGTGAAACAAACTATTAGAAACTTGTTTCGATACATCATAGTTTCAAGTTTTAATTCAAGACGTCAGCAATGACATTGGAAGTCGTGAAAATGTGGCCGGTCATTGTCCGTTGTGTCCATCTTACGCCATGTCGTTGCTTTATCTTACAGACCACGTCACTTGATGACCTCGATACAAGCGATAGTTCGTGAAGCTTCCTTGGTCCCAGTTCACTTACCTAACATCAACGCATTGAAAGAAGCTCTAGGCAAAGCACGTGATTGGTCGCATAAAGTTGATCATGTGCAGGTATTTCATACTGATGTTCAGTTGGTGTACACTATTGGGGAGGGAGGGAGGAGGAATAATTTTTGAAAGCCTCTGAATGATAGTTGAATAACTGTGTAACTGTAATTTGTCGACCATAAAAGCATTGCTAGACTATAAATCAAGCTATATATTGCTTGAAATATAAGGTTAAAAAGTTTCAAGAACTAAAATTTTCAGCAACAAAAGGTGCTACTATGTTGGCAACCTAAATCCGCCCCTCTCCAATATTTCGCCATTGCTGTATGTTTTAATACTGTAGTAAAGTAATTTGTTTTGCTTGTACCAGTTATGAAAGCTATAAATTGAAGGAAAATGTAGTCGCTGGCTTATAGTCCAGCTAAGGGCCTTCACTCTTCAAACTCTTCATTTTAGCATTATTTTAAACCTGAAGCACTAAATATACTTTTTAAGTCTGTTTGCCGCTTAAGGAACGTATCAAAAAATTTGAAAAATTGATTATAGTCATAACCACTAGTGAAGTATATTCATTAGTTTTGTTACGTAACATAACATACACAATATTCTCTTAATATTTTGCTGAAAAGCCTCGCAAGGAGATATGAAATAAGTAACTATATGTATTGTACGTACTTTTTAAAAAACGAGCAGGAGTGTTTTATTAGGTTTAAAGCCACGAGCGCGCAGGGCGAGTGGCTTTAGACCTAATAAAACACGACCTGCGAGTTTTTTAAATGGCTTCAAAAACGTTTGCATAGTAAGTCAAATCTGAATATGAAAAATATTTATATAAAAATCTTTATATAAAAATCTTTATATAGTTTGCATAACAATGGTCTTTTGTTAAAGTGTTCTTTAGCTGGTATAAAGACGTATGCACGTGACTAATTTCTTACTCAAGATTGGATAATTGCTTCGTGAATTATTTGAAATATTTTATATAGAACGACGAACATTATCCATATTTACAAGTGCTTGAAGCTCTGGTCATGCGTGGTAGACCGATACCTGTACGTCTGGAACAGTTGCCTCAGATGGAATCACAAGTTGCTGCGGCGATTGCTTGGAGAGATCGCACTGGTAGGACATTTCTCAAGAAGAATACCAGCTCGACACTACTTGAGGTAACATCACTAAATATCTTTATATTCGTGTGCGAGGGTTGTCTTTGTGACAGGTTCAATAATATTCTCGATAGGAACTCCGATTCGTCATCACCAGAGGTACAATTTGATTCCGGACTTAGATCTAATTTTAGTCTCTACGATGGACGATTCAGCTATAGGGGAAATTTTTATCTATCACGATTTCACGTTTCATAAGAATTTCTTCACATTTCATTTTGTCGCAGTTTTTTTCTTGAAAAGCTTCAGAGTTTCACAAAATTTTAACGGGGATGCAAAGGTGGCACGCTTGTTTTAAAATGCCTGTAGAAAACTATACTCGTCCATGTGTCATTTCAGATCTTGTCTTGTCGTAAGGAAATCGGCGTTTACAAACTGCCGAGTAAACAACGCCGCAAGAAGGATAAGGAGAGGGAAAAAGAGAGGGACATTATTGATTTATCCGAACTCGAAGACTACATCGATCGCAAGCCCGCGGAGCAGAGCGCCGTATTTCGTGTCGCGAAACAAAAAGAGTTGAACGAATTGCGCGAGTTGAGAAAACGCAATCTGGCGCGTTTCGACGAACTGAACGCGTTACATCCGGAGAATCGGCAGTTTTGCGTGTGCCGTAAAGCGACCGACGGCTACATGCTACAATGTGAACTGTGCAAAGAATGGTTTCATAGCACGTGCGTACCCTTGCCGCGCACGCCCAGTAGCAAAGGCAGCACGAAAAACGCACCATCGAGTGAAGCGTGTCGGACGCCGAAATATCTGTGTCCGTTATGTCACCGTTCGCGTCGACCGCGATTGGAAACTATTTTGTCACTTTTGGTCTCACTGCAGAAACTGCCTGTGCGTCTGGCCGAAGGGGAAGCGTTGCAGTTTCTGACTGAACGCGCCATGAATTGGCAAGACCGTGTCAGGCAGTTCTTGTTGTGCGGAAATGTCGCTAAAGTTCGGCAAAGAATTTTACTCGAGGAGACCTTGAAACAAGAGCCTGCTGCAGAAGGACCAGCCACGCCCCCTGTTGTTACCACGTCAACGCTACTTCAACAGAACATGGCGATGGCCATCACTGCGCAGACTCAGAAAACAAGTCTTGCTAATCAAGGAAGTGCTCCCCAGGCTCCTGTCAACACCTCGACCACTTCCTCCGAGAGCACTGGTATGGAGATTGATGTAGTCGGGAATGCCTCTCAGGAGGAACATAAAGGGGTAGTTGATGGTACTGAGGGTAACCAGGGGACTGAGGATGGTAATGAGAATAAAAGTGATAGTCTTGAAACGAGGTTATCACAACGCGAGTTAGATGAAGTTGACGATTACATGATGGAGGGTGATCTGCTTGAGGTCACTCTAGACGAGACTGAGACGCTATGGAAGATATTGGAAAGTCAACGGAAACACACAGAACAGAAGATACAGGTGAGTCCCTCGTGTAGTTTGTGATATACAAGTTGTTTCTACTAGAATGATAGATTATGAAGCGTAATGTGCCGTGGTTTGTGTCTAAACCAACTGAAAAAGATTAAAAAGACTTCGATGTTTCGAGCCTTCGTCAAAGGGTAAGAAGGGAAAATGCAGTGGTCGCCTTTGAACTCCAGACGATATTGGAGAAGACTCCACGGTCGAAACGTGTAAATATCTTTAATCTTTTAATGTAGTTCAGACACAAATACACTTACACTTAACTTTCTGGCAACAGACATCCCCTTGAATACAATTGTGAAAACAGCTTAACCCTTTATTTGGCACTGTTGCTATTTTCCAGCTTCTGTTTACTCAGTCTAATGCCAGGCAATCATCTAGCTCTAACCGCAAGTTCATGTAATAATATGCCATGAGTACATGAACTTGTGGTTGGAGTTTGGCAACTGGACTCTGTTGGTTTAGTGCGCTGGAATGACAGGTTCGATTCCTGTTCGATTCTTTCCACTCTGGAAAATTTTCCGCAGAAAATTTTGTATAATGTGATTGGCCCAGATTTTCCGTCGGAAAAAATTTTGAAGTTAATGATATTTTAGGAAAATTTTCTGTCCGTGGAAATTTTTCTTGAGTGCACCACCGGGCGCGATTAGACAACGCGACGCGATCTTTCAGTTCTTGAAAGTTAAAAAAAAAACAGCCAATGAGAGCAAATTTTAAAAGATATGTAGACCAAAGAACTCAACTAAATGTTCTAACGCTTCTAAAATCGGAAAATTTAAACTAGGATCAAAGTTATCGGTCAGTGAAAATTTGAAAAATCGCGTCGCGTTGTCGAATCGCGTCCGGTGTGTCTGGACCTTAATAGTTGCATTTTTGCAACAGGTTCTGGTTAGGTCCAAATATATATATATATGTAAAATTTACCCTCGAAATTTCAAGCTACGAAACCTTCTACAAGATATTGCATTTTCTTTGTAACCAGATTGTTCTGCCGAAGAAATCAGAAGAAAAGAAAAGACGTAAGCGAAAGAAGAACGAAGAGAAACTACACGATAAAGAAAACACAACGAAAGTCAACAAAAAGTTCAAACAAAAGAAAAACAAGAAACTCGTGGACGATGATCCTGACAGACCGAAGAGGAAATATGTTCGCAAACAAAAGAAAGCTGAGATAGTGGACGTCGAGGGTGATGATGATGACGACGACGATGATGAAGCATGCTTGGCAAGACCTTGTAAACATCCTTCGAGCGATGAAGTTGATTGGGTGCAGTGTGATACTTGCGAACAATGGTATCATAACTTGTGTGTGGGAATTAGTGCAAAAACCGCGGCGGAATTGGAGTCCTATATTTGCCCGTATTGTAAGACCGCACCCATGTCTACAGCCACCTCGCCTGATTCCAATATAGATGTAGTCAGCACTACACCCCACTCTACTACACCCCGCTCCCCTAGATCACCCACCGCTAAACAACATTCTGGAACTCTCCCCCAACCTGAAGTAATCAACAAGTCTCCAACTCTAAGTGAACACAATCCTGTGTTAGCAGTTGGCCGATAAAGAATTGTGTATCTTTAAATGAAAATTAGCGTTCCATTAAATTAAGAATAATTTTATTGATAGAGAAACACTGCATATTTGACTTTGTGAGACTTTGGTCTTAATACACGTGCAGTGTGTTGTTGTATTGCTATGTTAATGACTTGAAGATGTTTTCATCTCGGTACAGTTTTGTAAAGCTAGTTGGTGAACAGTAGAAGTCATGTCGTGCTGGTAATGTGTGTTATTTATTTTGGTAATATGTGACAAAGGCTTGTTTCATGTGTTGAAAAAAAAAACATAGAGTTTCGTAAGATTCGTTCACACTTTTACCGCGATTTTAGGTGCAATTTTCTCCTTCTGATGGATGTGAACGAGTGGATAAGTTATGAATGTTCAGATGAGAGGGTTCATATCATAGATATCTTATATACACTAGATAGCGCATCTCTTTTAGTAAAATTGAAGCCAAGAATATTCCAGCGGTTACCCCCATTTGAATAGATGGCGGCCATGTTGGTAGTTCCCACTTGCTAATAAACGCTTAAAAAGAACAATAACATTCATCATTTGAATAGTTTAAAATTGGATTTGGAATAGGTTTAACTTAATGTTTAAAGGATTAGTGTCAGGGTCATGCATTGCGGGCTTTTGTTATTGTTTACATTTTACTCAAATACAACAAATAGCGATAAAAATACCTTGTTCGGTGCATTTCTGATAAAAACCACACAAAAAGAGCAAGGATTACAAAAGGATGGTTTAAATATATGACGGATTGCAAACACTTTCCATATAATCTAATCTATTCGTCCCGAAAAATGGCCGCCAGCAGGAGTTTGAGCCTGCGAATTCCTGGTGTATGGTGTCCTAGGAGGGACATCAACATTTTTGTTTCATTTTAAAATTTATTTGCATTCAATTTACATTTAATGTATTTTTATTTTTAAAATTTATCTTTTCCTTGTTTCTATTTTGTTTTAAATTATTTTAAAACGTTTCAACTCGATTGGTTTTAATTTTAAAATTAATGATGTCTCTTCTCGGACATGACGATTTAAAAAAAAATCCTCATGTCCGAGAAGAGACATTACGTCACAGATTAAGTATGATCAAATGTGAAACTTAATAGGACTTCGTCACAGAAGAAAGACATACAGAAGGTCGACTCGAGTAACTGCTGCCATGCCATGATTCGTCATGAAAATGCTGACGCCATGGTCCTAGCCATTGCGCTTATGAGAGGCATTTCCCCTGGACTTCCGCCATTTTGAATATTATCAGGGGGTGAATGCTTCTCAAACGCGCACTGGCTAGGGCATGGCATCAGCATTTTCATGACGAATTACGATTACGCCAAAATCATTGGAAAATCATAGGAAAAACCAAAAAGTTGGGCAACTGTGCAGCCTATTCTGTGACTTCGTGTCCTCAAATTTCCCTAGATGTACATACACGTCATGCTCATGCCATCACATTTGCTAGCAAAATGGCGTCCTGCAAAACACGAACTTTTGCACTTTATTGCGGCCTTTTTGTACCGAAATTTTTGGATTAAATTTGTTGAAAGCAATTAAAGTTGTTGAAAAGGTGTTGAAAGTATTTTCTAAAGCAAGACGTATTACCAAATGACGAATTATCACGCGAGCGACACTTGATAGGAAGATGGCGACTGTGGGACAACTTTTTTACTGAAGTTACACATCTCTCATTAATCTGTGATTATATCTATATAGCTCAGTGCATTGACGTGATTTAACGCTGACCAGGATTGCCAGATGAGGCTCATGCTCTACCCAGTCTCTCTGCGGCAGTTAGGTCAAACTGAAAGCATGGCGAACGAAGATGAGTTCAAGAAGAACCAGAAGTTTATGGCAGCAAAGAGGACAAGAAAAACAGAACGAAACAAACTTGGAAAGGGTAAAGACCGGCTCGTACCTGAAAAATTAACAATTCAGCGATTGTTAGCTCAAGTTAAAGGATCTTCCCAAAAGTATGCCAGAATGGGGCCTTTAAAAAGAGTACAATGTTTTTGAATGTTTTTACCCTTTAAAATGTTTTTGGAAGACGACATGTGTGCACCACCAACTATTGATGTTGTGAGAAGGGCTTGTATTGCTGTTTTCAACATGAAGGGGTTTGATTGTAATACACTAGAAACTGAGCGAGGACCACCTATCCAAAATCTAAACGAATTAAAGAATCCTAATGGCACATTTTTTGTACGATTCATCCACAAACAATATATAGTCGCACTAAAGGCCCCATTCTGGCATACTTTTGGAAAGATCCTTTAACTTGAGCTGATAATCGCTGAATTGTTAATTTTTCAGGTACGAGAGCCGGTCTTTACCCTTTCCAAGTTTGTTTCGTTCTCTTTTTCTTGTCCTCTTTGCTGCCATAATCTTCTGGTTCTTCTTGAACTCACCTTCGTCCGCCATGCTTTCAGTTTGACCTAACTGCCGCAGAGAGACTGGGGAGAGCATGCGCCTCATCTGACAATCGTGGTCAGCGGTAAATCACGTTAATGCACTTAGCTATATAGATATAATCACAGATTAAGAGCAGATGTTTAACTTCAGTAAAAAGTTGTCCCACGATCGCCATCTTCCTATCAAGTGTCGCTCGCGTGATAATTCGTCATAATTTGGTAATACGTCTTGCTTTTAAAAATGCTTTCAACACTTTTCAACAACATTCAACATTGATTGTTTAATCAAAAAATTTCGATCAAAAAGGCCGCAATAAAGTGCAAAAGTTCGTGTTTTTCAGGACGCCATTTTGCTAGCAAATGTGATGGCCATGATGGCATGAGCATGACGTGTATGTGCATCTAGGGAAATTTGAGGACACGAAGTCACAGAACAGGCTACACAGTTGCCCAACTTTTTGGTTTTTCCTATGATTTTCCAATGATTTTGGCGTAACCGTAATTCGTCATGAAAATGCTGACACCATGCCATAGCCAGTGCGCGTTTGAGAAGCATTCACCCCCCTGATAATATTCAAAATGGCGGAAGTCCAGGGGGGAATGCCTCTCATAAGCGCACTGGCTAGGAACATGGCGTCAGTATTTTCATGACGAATTATGGCGTGGCAGCAGTTACTCGAGTCTACCTTCTGTATGTCTTTATTCTGTGACGAAGTCCTATTAAGTTTCACATCTGGTCATACTTAATCTGTGACGTAATGTCTCTTCTCGGACATGAGGATTTTTTTTTTTTAAATCGTCATGTCCGAGAAGAGACATCATTAATTTTAAAATTAAAACCAATTGAGTTGAAACGTTTTAAAATAATTTAAAACAAAATAGAAACAAGAAAAAGATAAATTTTAAAAATAAAAATACATTAAATGTTAATTGAATGCAAATAAATTTAAAAATGAAACAAAAATGTTGATGTCTCTCCTAGGACACCATACTAGTCTTTTACATGCAACCAATGAATTTTACACCAATGCTGATAACGGATTGATTACTGGAGTCATATTTATTGACCTAAAAAAAGCTTTCGACTCAGTAAATCATGAAATATTATCACGAAAGCTTGACCTGTATGGCCTTAAAGGGGTAACTCTGCACTGGTTCAAAAGCTATCTTAGCGATAGGCACCAAAAATCTTTTGTAAATATGAAATTGTCAAATGAAGCTATTATTAAATGCGGTGTTCCACAAGGATCAATTTTGGGTCCATTGCTATTTCTAACATTTATCAATGATTTTCCAAACTGCCTTGTTAATTCCAAAGCTGACCTCTATGCCGATGATACTCATGTGTATACTGCATCGCAGAATATATCTGAACTTGAAATTAAGCTAAATAAAGATCTAGCTGAAATTGAAGTATGGCTTTGTGCTAACAGATTACAATTCAACATCACTAAAACCGAATACATGTTAATCGGAACTGACCACAGACTAAGTAATTTGGACCATGAACCAGTCCTAATACTCAATCATAACATTCTCAAACGAGTTTCAAAATCAAAAATATTAGGATTAATCTACGATGAGCATCTTCGTTGGGACGATTACGTCAATGAATTAATCGAAAAAATTACTCAAGCTTTAAAAATGATACGACGTGTCAGCTCTTTCATGTCCAGACAAAATCTGTTACTTATTTACCATAGCTTAGTTGAACAACGATTAAACTATTGTAGCGGCGAAGTTTGGGACACTCTGTCTGATGGCCTATCCCAAAAATTGCAAAACAGGGCAGCCAGAATCATCACAAAGAGCGCTTATGACGCTTCATCTAGTGAATTACTTGTTGAACTTAGCTGGCGTGCACTTGCTCATGAACGAATAACTAAAAAAGCTATCATGATGTACAAAGTGCTTAACAACTTGGCTCCTGAGTATTTAAAAGATTTGTTTCGCGAAACCAATCAAGTACATGATCATGATTTGCGAAACTCTGATCTAAATCTTTTACCTCCAAAACCAAAGAGCAATCTTCTCAAAAAGAGTTTTTCATACAGCGGAGCTGTAATCTGGAATTCTCTTCCAACACATGTTCGCTTGGCTAATTCACTAACAGAATTTAAGAGGTCGCTAAAATTTAGTGTGCAACTCTCCAATAGCGTATAGCCTATACAGTATGATATTATATTATAGTTTTATATTAATTTTTCATGTCATTAGTTTTGTAACTTTATTTATGTATATATAGTTAATGCACGTCACTCTGGAAGAGCACTTTTGTGAATGAGTTAGTTTTACGTGGGTAAATAAAGATTTCTATTCTTACTCCGAAAATAAATTTTAATATTCTAGCTTTCGATTAAGATTCAGTTATCATCAGGAATCTGATGAATTTCCTGATGGTGACTAAATCTTAGTCGAAAGCTAGAATATTAAAATGTTTATTTTCGGAGTTACCGTTGTTTTACATTCGTAATACCACACCTGTTCCATACATTCATATTATTACGCCTTCCTTGCATTGAAGACACTCAAATTTCAAGAAAGAAAAACACCGCTAAAAGGCCCTAAAATTGTCAATTGAATATTAGAATTGTCAATATAAGAAATAGAAGATTACCTTATATAAGAACAAAATATCGATAACTATGCAGTCTATGTGTGACGTTTCTAGAGTCTCCAGAGAAACGTCTGATATGACGTTTCTCATGGACAAAATCGATGATGCCAATGATATTAAAATAAATGACCAGTCGATCGAACAAGTGAAATGTACAAAATTCTTGGGTGTTCTAATCGATTCAACACTCACATGGAATAATCACATTGGTTCAGTTTTAAAAAAATATTTAAATCAACCGGAATTATTTCTAAAATTCGGCATTATACGAATCAAAATACATTAAAATTGCTTTACTATGCCCTTGTCTATCCTTATCTCACTTACACGCTAATTTAACTTGGGGTAACACGTACCCTTCAAAATTGCAAAAATTGATGAGTGTCCAAAAGAAGATTGTGCGTCTAATCACTTTCAAACCGTATTCTGAGCACACGGAACCATTATTCAAAAAATTAAATCTATTAAACATTTACAAAATAAATGATTATTTGACCAGTTTATTTATGTTTCAATTTTACAACATGAACAATATGCCCGAAATTTTCAACAATTTTTTCAAAACTAATAATGAAATTCATAATCACAATACTAGAAGTTCCAAAAAACTACATAAAACCTACACCCGAACTAATTATATGAAACATACTCTCTCCAATAAAGGAGTAGATATTTGGAGTAATTTGAACGAAGATTTAAAATCCATCCAATTTTACCAATCGTTCAAAAAACAAGCTAAAATTTATTATCAAACACAAGAATAATAATACAGCATTATATTATATTATTCATGGACGTCTAAAACAATGTAGGGTAAAAACAATGCTTCCATCATCATGCACTCCTAACTTCGTATTTGTTGTATATCT